ACAGAGTAGAAACTGGCCCATAGGGTTCCCAAGGAGCAACTGGCAGATTCAAACCGGCAACCTTTTGGTTAGCAGCCAAATGCTTAACCACGGTACCACCCAGACTCAGTCTTTATAAATACCTGTTCTAGACATCTCAATATCTGATACAATATATGTCCTTTCCTGTCTCGCTTGTTTCACTCAGCATAATGTTTTCAGGGTTGGTCCTTGTCAAAGTAAGTATCAGAACTTCATTCCTTTTTATGGTTGAATAAGATTTCATTGCATGGATCTACCTCATGTTGTTTATTCATTCATCTGCTGGACACTTGGGTTGTTTCTACCTTTTGACCATTGTAAGTAGTACTGCAATGAACATTGGTGTACTAGTATTTGTTTGCGTCCCTGCTTTTCAGTCTTCTGGGTATATACCCAGGTGGAGAATTCTGGGTCATATGGTAGTTCTGTGTTGAACCGTTTTGAGGAACCACCAAACTGTTTTCCACAGCAGCTGCTCCATGTTACGTTCCCACCAGCAATGCATCAGGGTTCCAATTTCTCCACATCCTCAATAACACTTGCTATTTTCCATTTTGTAAAAAATTTTATAATAGCCATCTTAGTGGGTGTTAAGTGGTAGCTCATTGTGGTTTTGATTTGCACTTCCCTAATGACTAATAATGCTGAGCATCTTTTCATGTGCTTATTTGGGGGCCCTGGTGGTGTAGTGGTTAAGCCTTTGGCTGCTAACCAAAAGCTCAGTAGTTCAAACCCACCAGCCGCTCCTTGGAAACCCTGTAGGGCAGTTCTACTCCATCCTATAGGGACACTATGAGCCAGAAGCCACTGGATGGCAATAGGTTTAGTTTCTTGTTTTTTTTTTTTTTTTTTCTAATTGGCTGTTTGGAGCCCTGGGGGTGTAGTGGTTAAGAACTCAGCTGCTAACCAAAAGGTCGGCCGTTCAACTTCACCAGTCACTCCTTGGAAACACTGTAGGGCAGTTCTATTCTGTTCTATAGGGTCACTGTGAGTCAGAATAAACTCAATGGCAACAGGTTTTTGTTTTTTTTTATTGGCCATTTGCATGTCTTCCTTGAAGAAATCTTTAGTCAAGTCGTTTGCCCATTTTAAAACGGGGTTGCTTGAGCTGTAGTAGTTCTTTATATATTCTGGACTGAAGGTCTCTTGACTCTGTCCCTCTCTCTTCATCCCCACAGCTCCGGCTCTTGTCTAGGCGCCTCTTCACACACCAGAATCCCTGCCCCAGCCTGCTGTCTTGTGTGCTGCCTCAGTCTCTCCCTCCCAGTCACCTTCAACCCTGCAGCTGGAGGGGTCTTCCTAAAGCACAAACCTGTCCCTGCCCCTCTCCTGCTCAAAATCTCCTATGGCTCCCCAGTGCCCTCAAGAGAAGACCCAAACTCCATAGTCTGGAGTTCAAGTGGTTGCAGAATCTGGTCCCTGCTGACTCTCTCTCCAAGCCTTTTGCTCCAGGCACTGTGCGTTTTCAGCTCTCTCAGTATACCAAACCCTCTCCTTGCCAAAAGATCTTTGCTATTTCCTTGGCCTTGAACCATCTTTACATTCTTCTTTTATTCCCTTTTATACTTTATTCATCCTCTAGGACTAAGTCAGCTGTCCTGTCCTCCAGGAAGCCCCCCTTGACTCCTAGACCAGGTGAGGAGCTCCCGCTGGACATCCCCCCTCCGCCCAATGGGCTGTCCAATGAAGCCCTGGCCACTTTGGGTCATCCCTGACTGGGGATGGATCTGTGTCCTTCACTGGACTGTGGGCCCTAGGAGGGCACTGCCTGGGCCTCTCTTGGTCCCTGCAATGTCCCCAACCTTGCCCAGCACAGAGGCGATCACACAGTAGGAGCTTAGCAAATTTTGTTGAATTAAAGAATGAATGAATTGATTCCACCATGATAACTTTCCCTGCTTATTTGTTTATGAAGGTGTCTGAGTGACCTTTGAAGCCGCCCTTCCATTCCCAGAGTGCTTGCTGCTATGCAAATAAGGGAGAACTTGGATTTTTGCAATGGGGGTGACTCAGCTGTATTTTTGGATAGGCAAAATGGCAAAATTTTTGGTTTGGAGTTAGTCTTGGATCTGCCACAGTATGGTTATAATCCAGAGGTGGCCACATGAAAAGAAAAGGAAATCTATCTCCAGGATAATGTCATTCTAATTCTTGTGTTTCATATAACCCTGAGGATCCACATAAATGACATGAGGGTTTATAAGTGATAGGTGGGCAGAATGTTCAGTTTGATAGTCTTTAGAGTGGGTCAAAGTCGGATGGGTGTTTTTCTACCTCAGGACCTGAAGGGATTCCCCACTCTTTACCTTAAACTTGCCTTGCACAAACCTCCATATATTTTGCTTAAGCTATTCCCTCAAAACTTCCTCGACCCTTCAAGACATCCATGTTGTTTTTTGCTGTCGAGTCAATTCCGACTTACGGCAACACCATGAGTGTCAGAGTAGAACTGCACTCTCTGTAGGGTTTTTCTGGCTGATTTTTCCGAAGTAGATCACCAGGCTTGTCTTCTGAGGCACCTCTAGGTGGACTCGAACAGCCAAACTTGTGGCTAGTAGTCGAGGGCATAACTGTTTGCGCCACCCAGGGATTCGCAACACAACTATAACTCACAGCTGATTTCTGCCTCCTTACTTTTTCTATAGGAGGCACAGCCTGTGTGTGTATGGGAAGTCCTCCTGATAGTCTAGCCTCCCTCCGTCCTGCTGGAGCTGCTTCACTAGTAGGAGTTCCAGCAAGTGTATACGCCTGTGTATAGTCCCCTAAGCAGTCTAACCTCATTCCTTCATGTTGAAAGGAAGCCAGGTCATGGGCGTCGGGAGGAAGGAGACACTGACGCCTGGTGGGTGCATTTTAAGCGCTTTTTATTGGAGGATCGGAACACGGCGACAGTGCAGAACCTTGGGGGGAGGGGAGTGGCCCAGAGCCAGCCTGCCCCAGCCTCCGGGATCAGGTGCAAAATACAAAAATAGAATCACAAATACAGCATGGGGTGGGGAGCATTTGGGGAGTCCATACATTTTGGTCAGTAGGGGCAGGCTCCGCTCATAGTCTCACCCTCACACCCAGATTCCTCAGGGATACTGATGGTCAAAATCTATGATGCCTCAGGCTTCCTTACAAAAATACAATCTCATTTCCCCAACAGGCCGAGTCAGAAGACACCTGGAGGGTCCGGGGCAGTCAGAAAGGAGACAGGCAGAAACAGTCAGAGAAAAACAGGCAGAGTAAAGACCGAGGGAGAGAGACACTCGGAAAGGAGACAGGCAGACTGTCAGAAACAGAGGAACGGAGACCATCACAATGGTGACAGCTAGAGACAGTCTAGCTGGGTGGCGCAAACAGTTAAGTGCTTAACTACTAGCCAAAAGGTTAGCAGTTCAAACCCACCCCGAGGCCCCTCGGAAGAAAGGTCTGGTGATCTGCTTCTGAAAGGTCACAGCCTTGAAAACTGTATGGAGTACAGTTCTCTGCACACACGGGGTCACCATGAGTTGGAATCAACTCGCGGGCAACTAACAATAATAGAGATAGCCAGAGAAAAGACAAGACTGTCAGAAAGACAGGCTGATTCCAAGTTCCAGAAGCAGTATTTCCAATGTGACAACACCCTCCTAAGGGCCAACATGATCCAGGCTGAGGTTTTGCAGAAGCGCTCACATACTCACACATACACACACACGCACACACACACACACCCATATATAATATATTTTATTTATACATAATAGATATAAGTGCTTTTCGGTTACCAGGAAAGGGATAAATAGCTATGGGAGGGGTCTGGGGTTACAGGGAGGGGACATGTGGAATGTCTTCCATGCAGCACGGGGGAGGGCATGCCCACCCCTCATATTAAAAAATATAAATTTGCCTCATGATCAAATTCTCATGAGGTGAAGCACAAGGAGAGGCGAGGTGGGAGAGCCAAAACCAAGATTTGGGGACTGAGGGAGTTGGGGAAGGGGAAGCTGGGATGATGGGAGCCCAGCCCCTTTGAGTTTGTCAGTCCAAAAATATTGGGGTTGGAGGGGACAAAGCCTCAGCCCTTAAATCTTCTCCAGAAAAATATCAAACCTCCTTGCAAACTCCCCGTGTCCCCTTTCTAGAGGGGATGTGGGGGTACGAAGGGGAGGGAGAAGTTGGCGTCCTAGGCTTGGGGAAGATGAGGCGCCTTAAGGAAAGGGCCAGGGTTTGGGGCTGGGGGTCCTGAGGAGGGAGAGGCCACAGGGATAACGGTCGCCCCCTCTCAATTCTGTCACCCCCTTGAATTAAACTCAACTGCTGTAGGGGAAAGAAGCCAGATGGGAGGAGGGAGACCAAGAAGAAGCTTCGGGAAGCCGGGGGCCGCAGTCCCTCCGGAAGGGCTCTGTCCCACCCTGGCCCCACCCTATAAGTTGGCCAACTCAGTTCACAGTATAAAACACTCCAGCAGGGCAGGCATCACAGCGCCACCTGCTGACTGAAATCAGAAAGGCCCAACAAGGAAGGCCAGGAGGGGAGGCTGGAAGTTTGGGGGGCAGAAGGCTTGGAATAATACTGTAATCAGAAAGGAGGGCTGGGGGGGCTGAATTTGTGGGACTCCTTAGGAGGTGAGAAATTCAGATCCGAGCCAGTTTTGTGAGGAGGGGGCGGCTGGATGAACAGCCAGGGTGGTTCACATTTCAGAATAAGTCTGGGGGGGGGGGGATTTTCAGAGGGAGCATCAACCTCCCTCCAAGGAGGGGGTGGGCTCAATTCTGTCACTCAGTACAAAAGAAGTTCTAACCACGTGGGAATTGTGGATAAATAAGCTAAGGTCGGGAAGTGAGGATGCCAGCATAGACACCCCCATGAAAGGTGAGTGTGAGAGATGACAAGAGGGGGTGGCATTTCCTTGTTGGGCCTCTCTGGAGCCCACCCCACCGCCCACTGCCGTACCCCTTCCCTCCAGCCCCACACAGCACTGCCCAATGGCGCATCACCCCCCACCCACCCATTCCCCAGAGGCTGGGTTGAGGTGAGAGGACAAACAGGCAGCCTGGAATGCCCTTCCCCTCCCCACCCCCTGCCCCCAAAGTCACCAGCTCTCCAGTCTCGGTCTCGCCAGGGCATAGAAACTAGGCTCGGGACAAAACACAAGGAGGTTCTGTCCGCTGGCAGTGGCGGCAGAGGGTCAGGCAGGAGAGGCAGGGAGGCCGCACACCCACTTGTCTGTTCCCCTCTCTCTTCCTCCTTCTCTTCCAAATCTCTCTCCCTTGTGTGTATGTTTGTTTTGTGTGTCTAAAGAGTTCACAGAGCAAGAAGGGAGGGCGAGTTCAGAGGGTCGGAAGGCTGGTCACTGCCGCTGGTGCGTTGGGCGCCGGCGAACGCGGAGACCTCCGGGCAGGTGAGGACAAACGAGGAAGTGTACGAAGGGTTAACAACGGGGAAAGGGTCGCCGAGGACTTGAACTTCACTGTGTGTAAAGAGAGAAGCTGTCAGGTTGGGGGGTGCGTCTTGGCTGGTCTGGAAGGGCAGGGGCGGTGGTGGCGGGGGCGGCAGCAGCCAGCCGAAACCATCTTCCTTAGCGGATGCTGACCCCGGCAAATCTCTCACCTCCGCCAGCGGGCCAGGGCCGGGCCCGGGCCCCTCTTCGAAAGGGATCTTGCAGCCCGGTTTGTGGGCCACCAGCACAAACTCCAGACGCTCCTTCTCCTTTTGGAGCTCAGCGATCTCCGACTCCAGCTCTGCCTTTTCTTCCTCCAGTTGATCTGTCTCCTGAGGTCCCCCGGAGGCCAGGTCGAGGAGAGGGAAGAAGGAGAAAAAGGCCGTCAGCCGCTAGAGAAGGTGGGTCACGCCTGGAACATTCTCCTCTAGACTTGCAGCCCGGGCCCGGACTGAGAGGAAAGACCCCTTTAGATGGATCCCGGTATGCCAGGGGGCTTCGGGCAAGCGTTTTGCCTGCTCAGAGCCTCAGTTTCCCCGTCTGTCAAGTGGGTGGTTAGGAAGGGGTCTGGTGCACATGGAAGTTTCTGGTGCACCGGAGGTGCTCAGAGGTTTGATGAATGAATGAAAGTGTGTGTGTGTGTTTTTAATGCCACCTGTCCCCCCACCCTGCTACCCTTCTCCCTAATCCTCCTGGGGAACCGACCAAGGACAGGAGGAAGGTGGAGGATTGTCCTGGTTTCCTTGAGAGATGACAGGTCACCCTGCAGGTATACGGCGGGCAACTCTCAGCTGAGGTAGGAAGTGAAAAAGGAGTGGGCCTAGGGGTCGATGCCCCCAGCCCAAGGTCTGAGAACTATGGGTGGCTGGTGACAGGTGGTGGGGAATTGACATAGGGGAAAAAGAGTTTTAAAGAATGTTAAAGGTAATAGAAGGAGCCTGGGGGGTTGATGAGGGGTTGAAGACCTGGAGAAACCAAGGCAAAAACCAGTCAGTGCTTGCCCAAGATCAAATGGGAGAGAGAAGCAGAGCTCCCCTCTACTGAGGGTCCCCCATATGCTCCCTCAGATGAAGTAAAGGCCAGGAGAGTGGTGTGTGTGTCGGGGGTGGGGTGCGGCATAGGTCCAGGCAGGGTGTGGCCAGGAGCCTACATAAGTATATGGGGGTCTGGGTATGTCATGGGGTTACCCCATCTGGCCCCACTTGCATCTCGTTCCACAGGTGAACCTCTGGTTCTTAGCCCAAGGTAAGGGCACAGGTGGGGGAAAACAGAATGGGGACAGAGCCCCCTTCAGCATCTCCTCAGCCCTCCCCAGGGGCCATCCTCACCGCTTGCAGTCGGTCAGTCAGCTCCCGTCGACGGTTCCTACACTTGGCTGCCGCCAGCTTGTTCCGTTCTCGGCGAACCCTTCTCTTCTCCTCCTCCTCGGGTGTGAGCTGAGTAGCGGAGATAGAGGCCATGAAGTTTGGGGACAGTGTGCACCTCCTCCACCCATCCCAAACCACCTCTTCTTCCAGAACCCCCAGGAGCCAGAAAAGGACCATCTCGTCCTCATTGACTATAGCTGGAATGATAGGGTTTCAGTGGCATTGAAACCTTAGTGGCCCCCCACCCCAATTTTGAGAAAGTTCCTGCCACTCTTGCTTTCTGTCCCTCAGACCAAGTTCTGATGCCCCCTACTTACCGTCTCCTCTGGGGGTCTCCTGGGCCGGGCTCGGGCTGGGCGGGAAGGCCCAGGTCTGCTGGCGGTTCCGCTGGTAGAAGGCCCACCACTAGCTCCGCCACTGCTGTAGCCGCTCATGCCTGGTGTGGAATAGCTGGTTCCTGGCATGTCATAGGGGTCGACGACTGGGGGCTGGGAGGCCAGTGGCTGCCCCTGGGACTGGGCCATGGAAGAGATGAGGGTGGGTTGCACGAGCCACTGGAGGTCCTGGCTGGTTGTGATCGCGGTGACCGTGGGCACGAAGGAACCGGGCATTTCCCCGAGACCGGCGCACTCCTACGGGGTGACACATACACACACAGGCGTAGACACACAAACAGAGACACCGACACACACACGCCCAACACACATACACACACCGACCCCGTGAGTGAGCACAGGGTGAGCGGGTGTGGATGTGTGTGTCACAGGCAAAAAGCCACAACACCCACCCTTCCACTACACCGTGACGCAGTGGTTAATGAGAGGATTTCTGCTCAACTGGCTTCTCCCTCCTCCTTCTCCTTCCTCGGTGAAAGGTTGCACGGTTCCAGCGAGTGGTGAATCACACCCCGGGTTGGTGACTCTTAGGTGTGGGGGGTGGGGAGGAGGCTGGACACAGCCGGTGACAGAACCCCCGGGATGGAGCCACAGCCACACACAGCCACAACACCCCACCCCCACCCCAGAGGAAAGGGGAGGGAGGGGGAGAGGCCTTAGGCCAAGCCTTCCTCTACACACACACACACACACACACACACACATACACACCCCTCTGTGCGAGGGAATGAGAAGCTGGGAGGGTCCAAGAGACCCCCGTGCAGGGGCGGGGGTCCCAGTTAAAAAGGTGTTGGGGGACGGGTCTAGGAGTTCAGAACAAACGTTTCAGGTAACTGTCTCTCCCAGAGGGAGACTGATAAGTGACAGGTTAGGGTGGACCGACAGGTAGAGAAAAGTGACGGCCCGGGCTCTCTCAGACTTTCGCGGAGGGGGAATGTCTGCAGGCCCAGAGCCCCCTCGACCCCAGTGGGTGCTCATCTCCCCCCCACCTGCAAATGGAATCCTAGACCTGCTCGGAAGGCTTAACTACTCTCCGGGGGGCGTGGTGAGGGAAGGGCTGGCTTGCCGGCCAATCAGCGTCCTGGGAACCCAGAGGGGGCGGGGCTTCTGGAGACCACCTGGTCGGTGCCCCTCGGGTTACAGGTTCTAGCCCTAGCTTCGGACACACCGGAGGGACGGGGTGTCCAAAGCAGAAGGAGTGGGAGTGTGTCTGCGTGTGTCTGGAGAAGTGGGTGACAGTCACCATGCCTCCCGAAAAAACTCCGCCACACATGCAGGCACCCCCTGTCCCTGAATGCCGAGGGGACCAAATCACCGCAAGGTCCTCGCGGACCCATCGGGTCTCAGAAGGTTGTTCCTGCCGCGACAGAAAACCTTTCGCCCTGCTTCGAGAGGCCCGTAAAAGAGACCCTAGCGCCGAGGAACCACGGGGCCCAGGGCCAGAGCGGGGAAGGAAGCTGCACCCTACAAATAGGAAGGGGAAGCTGATTGGTCAAAGCCGGCCCGACAGCAGCCAATCGGGACGCTGGACTGCCCCCTCCCTTAGCAACGTGGCCCCGGCGTTCCAAAATAGAACGCTCCGGGGACGTCAGGGGCGGGGCGGACGAAGGGGGCGCCGCGCGCTGTGCGTGCCCCGCGTCAGACGGAGGATTCCAGCGCGTCAGCCGTTACGCACGGGTCCCCCGTTACGTCTCCGCGCAGGAGGCGGAGGCAGCGTGGCTGAGGGTTCGAGGCCCGCTTTCCCGCTGGGTGGAGGGCTACCGAGCGCCGGGAGTAGGCTCTCTGAAGGAGGAGGAAAGGGGAGGAGGCTACTGGAAGCTTCCCCGGGGTTTCCTCCACCTGCCTAACCGCGCCAGCTTCGGGTTAGGGGCCTGAGCTGAGGGCAGTCCCGGAGCCTAAAAGTTCTCAGTCCTGCTACCGCATACGCGTTGCACTGAGCGGCGCATCATCCCTCCCCCTCCTGAAGATTACCCCACCATTCCCTCCCCGCGCTCCACACACACAACCAATTGCAAACATCTTTCGACTCTTTGCAGTTTGCAAAGCGCACTTCGAGCCTATTCTCTTTCAGGTCCTTCCCTTTCAGATCCTGGGTTTGGGCGCGTTTTTATTTTTATTTATTTTTTTAGGGGGAGACATGTCTTGCTCTACCCTTGACTTAAAAAACAAAGCCCACAAAGCAGTACCCCAAACTCTCTAGAAACTTACCTGGGAGGCGGCGGCGGTGGATGGACTGCCAAAGGAGTCCACCGAAGACAGATACTGAGACTCGGCGGAGGGCGAGGAGCTGCACCGGGAGCCTGAGTCGTAGTCTCCGGGGAAAGCCTGGAACATTTCCCTGGGCACAGGGGGGGCCCTGTGACCACGCTGGGGTCGCCGGGAAGCCAAGGCTATAGCCGGGTGGGAGAAGAAAGGTGCGAGTCCGGGGTGAGCCAAGCGCGTCCCCAAAGTGCGCTGTCCTGAGAAGCTCGGGGAGCGGGCAGCGCGTCCCGCTCCAACCAACAAGGCAAAGTTTCTGTGCAGCTCCTTCGCGGTGCCCAGAACCCTACAGGATGCCGCTGTGACTCCCGAAAGTCCAGGCTCTGGAGGACCCAGAGGCGTGGGGGGCCGCTCCCCCAGCGGCGGAAAGTGCTGTCCGGGTTTACAGAATCTGCTTCGGCTGCGGTCTCCTCCACACGTCCGCCGGGTCCCACGGGGGAGGGGAGGCAATAAAGAAGAAAAAGTAATTCGCTCCTCCAAAACAAAACGAAGAATTATCTAGAAGAATCTTTCCAAAAACTTTCTCTTCGGAAAAAGAATAATAAACCGGATATCACAGCTCCCAAGAAGAAGAACCACAACAATCAAGTCCCCAGTCCGGGTTCCGCGTGTCCCCGCCGTGGCCGTAGCTCTCGGTCTTATGAATGAAGCCCACTGCCGGCTAGCCTGTATTTATACGCCCGGGACCCGCCCCTCTGCTTACGTCACCCGCACCGCGCGCCACAAACTTCCTAAAATCTCCGATCCGGGTGAACCAACACAAGCGCCTTTCGGCCAGAGGTCTGCCCTAGCCTCGATCTGATTTATCTGAATGATCCTCGCTGTCCTGGGGGTCTCCGGGGCTGAGTTGCGGGGCGCACGGCGGGAGGGGATTCCGACCCCGCCTCCCCGGAGTTCCTGTGACGCAATTAGCCATATAAGGAGCTCGGCCGAGCAGGCTGAATGTTTGTTTGGTATCCTAGCAATTACGTCAGAGGGAATCCCTCGCTCGCTCGCGAGCGCACACCGCGCGCCTGCGGAACCCGCCCGCGCCTGCGCAGTGCCACGCCGCCCGGGGGCTGGTATTCATAGGCGCTTAACCTCGTGGGGGGAAGGCTGTGCTGACCCCGGCGGGGAAGACCCCAGCTAGTAGGTTCCCCCTTCCCTCTGCCCCCCCGCCCCCATTCTCTCGGCTAGTGCAGCGCCCCCACTCGAGAGGAACGCAAGTCTCCACAGAGACACTGGCTAGTGTTGTGTAGTCACGTAGGTGGGGAAACTGAGTCCCGAACCCTGCGGGAGAGTCTGTGATGCTGTGAGTGCAAGTGGAGCTCTGGGTGAAAGTGGAGGTGGGGGGGTGGGGTCCCGAGGCTCGTCCCAGCTTCTGCCCTGGGTCGCTGTGCGAGCTTAGGAAATGTTTCCTCTTTCGGAGCTTCAATTTTCTCAGCTGGGCGAAGGGTTTAGGGCGAAGCTTCCCTGCTGATGGTGCTGGGACCTCTCCTTCTCGCTTTAGAATCAGTTCTGGAGACAGAACAAATGTGGAGGGACTTCAGAATAATACAGTAAAACCTGAGGAAAGCCGGAACCCGTGTGAGGCGGAAACCTCTCAGAGAAGGAAAATTATTTTTCACTAAAAGGAGCGATAGAAACGTGCTAAGACCGCACCTTGCCAAAGGAGGAAAACTTGCGAGACCTGGAAAAACAAGGCAGTTCGGTCGAGTTCGGGCTCTCACAGGTTTCACTGTGATAGTAATTGTTATTCATGTTATGTATTGAGCAGTGACCAGGTACAAGCTCCTGCGCTAAGGTAAGCCTTTCAATACGAGATCTGCGATTCTTAAAACAGATTTGGAAGGTTAAGGGCGAAAATCTCCATTTTATAAAAGAGGAAAGTGATACACGGAAAGAGGTTAAATGACTTGCTCAAGATCTCATCGCAAGAAATTCAGATTCAGAATTATCAAACTCCAGAGCCCTTGCTAACCTCCTTCTGGATCCCTGAGAGCAGGCTGGTTCAATGAAACTTCCAGGAAAACCAGGGCCTTGGGATAGTTTGAATGATAATGGCTTCAGTTGCTGGGGGTGTAAACCACTTCCCGACTTCACAGTGTATATATTGTAACCTGGGCTCAGAGGGATGAAGCTGCTTACCTGAAGCCACCCAGTTAGGAAATGGGGTTCAAGTGTCTGTTATTTCTGATGCCACAATCCTGAATTCTTAATCATTCCCTGGGAAGGGTGCCTCCAGCTTCGACAAAAACCTTGGAGTCCGTAGCACTTCTCTCCCAAAGCAGAGCCAGGCACAGTCCCCCAAGCACTTTAAAATTGTGAATCCCATAGGTCCAGAGAGAGAGACGGCTTGGCTCAGGGTCACACAGCAGGTCTGAGGCAGAGGGAAAGGAGGAGGTGGTTCCTGATTTCCAAGAGTCTGGGTTCCTAGCCCAAGAGTGGGGAGTAGAAGGCTGGAGGGATATGGGGGCAATAGGGGAGGTTGAAGTTTCCAGATGAAATTCTGCCCTCTGCCCCCCTCCTCCACCCCCGCTGTCTACCACCAGTTGGGAGGGAGGGACAGGGACTAGAGGATGACAGAGTAGCCACCAGCAGGCAGTGACTCGGCCCCAGCATCAGACAGGGAGTGACCCCTGATCCCCCAGTCTCCTCCAAGCCCCTCATCTCCTCTCCCACTCTGCCGCAGGAGACAGAGTCAGAGAAACCCAAATACCTACCCTGGCCACCCAAAGACATTCACACCCTGACATAGGTGGCACATCCATCCACACAGCCACTCACAGCCCACAGGTCACACACGTGGGCACACAGACGTTGCCCCACAAGCAGGAACACACTTGGTCACAGGGAGAAACAGCTTCATAGACGCACACCTGCACGTAGAAGCACGTACCCTCATGTGGTTACCAAAGCACATCACGCACGTCCACGCACACACAGGCAGACGTCCACACAATCCACATCACACACATCCAGACATATACAAGAGGAAATACACACAATATACCTCATACACATACTAGGAGTCATCCATACAACCCACATCACACACATCCACATATAGAAGAAGAAATACAATACACATCCCACACACACTAGGAGTCATCTACACAGCTCACATCACACACAGCCACATATACAAGGAGAAATACATGCAACGCACATCACACACACACAAGGAGCTTAGCGCTCAGGTACATGGCCAGACAAAATGTCTGCACAGACTCCAAAACACACAGGGACCCTGAGAACTTCAGTACAGATACACATGGATGCACACATACACACACACACACGAGACGTTCACACACACCTAGACACAGGAATTTAGGCACACAACTAGGTGGGGACATCTGTACAGATCCCAAAACACACAGGAACCCTGAGACAGACCTTCAGTAAAGATGCACATGGACACATACGTTCACACACACATCCACAACACCCAGAGATGGAGACAGTCACAGACACACACACACACCAGGCCAACAACCACACGTTCTGTAGAGGCAACCACGCTTACAGCCCTTCACATAACAATAACGAGAGAATTCTTCCGGAGCGCTTTATATTAACTTTCTTAATTCTCACGCTGTGCCTATGAGGTCAGAACTATTTTACAGGCCAGGAAACAGAGGCACAGAGAGGGGAAGTCACTTGCCCAGAGTTACACAGCAAGTAAGTGGCAGAGCTGGGATAAGCATACGAGGTGTTGGGCTCCAGAACTTATGCTTGTAAGTCTTGATTCAGTGAGTTTATCTAAGTCAATATATTCACACACAAACGGTCACACTCGCTCGCACACTGGCCATTTACAACATATGGGCAGACCTGGAAGCCAGCTTGTGTGGACTTCAGTGCTGGCCCTATCACTTAGTAGCTGGGTGAACTGGACATCTGGAACCTCAATTTCTCTACCTGGAAAAGCAGGACAGGAATAACGCCCAGTCATTGGTCTGGTAGGAAGATTCCATGAAGTTAATATCAGTAATCACCACCCGTCCATCCGTTTGTTCTGTGGGGGCTTGCGTGTTGCTATAATGCTGGAAGCTATGTCACCAGTATTTAAAATACCAGCAGGGTCACCCACGGTGGAGCTTCCAGACTAAGACAGACTAGGAAGAAAGGCCTGGTGATCTACTTCCAAAAAGTAGCCAATGAAAACCTTATGGATCACAACAGAATATTGTCTGATATAGTGCTGGAAGATGAGCCCCCCAGGTTGGGAGACAACAGTCATGCAGATGATGCAGGACCAGCAATGTTCCGTTCTGTTGTACAGAAGGGCACCATGAGTTGGAGCCGACTCAATAGCAACTAGCAACAACATCAGTAAAACTCCTGGAACATTCCTGGCACATTGTAGGTGCTTGGTGTTTATTAAAACGAAGCCACCCTGACTTTTGCACGCGTAGACCCTCCTAGAGACCTCACGCAGAGGCAAAGCCACGTCAGACCGCATGGTGACTTGCATGGGCCCTGGGAGCGTTTGCCTTCATGCCTCTTCAGCTATAAAACATCTTATTTTATGACTGCCTTGCTACAACAATGAATCTATTAATATTATATATTGATACATTGTCTTTACCTTAAAAGTTCAGTTTTTTTCTTATTTTAAAGGAAATGAAACATTTCCACAGGACGCTAAAATTATCATGGGCCCTAGGCACCGTGCCTCCTTGGCCTAAGGGAAAAGTCAGCTTTGGGGACACACATACACTCCCTCACACATACTCATATGCACTCTCCATCAAATGCACACACAGACACACATACTCCCTCACACACACATGTACTCACTTGTTCACACACACTCACAGACTCCCTCAAATGCACACACATTCACTCACACTCACACACACACACAGTCTTTCTCAAATGCACACCCAGACACTCACAGACACTAGCGCACAGTCTCTCACACACACACTCCTACACACACATCATAAACCTGCTGCCGTTGAGTCGATTCCGATTCATAGCAACCCTATACGGCAGAGTAGAACTGCCTCATGGTGTTTCAAAGGAGCAGCTGGCGGATTTGAACTGCCAAACTTTTGGTCAGCAGCTATAGCTCCTCTCTCTCTCTCTCTCTCTCTCTCACACACACACACACAGACACACACAGGGTTTCCCTTAAATGCAGACCTGCCACAGACCATGGGCAAGGCAAATCTGTCTCCAGGGGGCTCAATTATGGGACCTTCTAGAAGGAGAAGGACTTGAGTGGTATTGGGGAGTGGCAGTACCCTCTGCTCTGGCTCCCCAGGCCTTGGCTCTGCATGGGCAGGGGCTAACCCTCCTGCCCCCACAGGCTGGCGGGTGAGGTGGCAGTGCCATGCTGTGCTGTGCTTGCTCAGAACATCCCAGAAACAGCCTGGGGGAGATGCTGCTAAAGGTAGGCCTCAGCACAGACTCCTGTCCTTCCCTTGGCAAAAACCCTGCCCCTCTGTTCCTCAGTTTCCCCATGCGTAGAGAAAGAAGTTTGGATGACGTGGTTTCTGAAAGTCCTTTGAGGCTCTGAAATTTAATAATAAAGAGGAAGAGGAGGAGGCTGTTGAAAGCAAAGGCTTATTAAGCATTTGCTGTTTGCTGGGCATGGTGCTTAGCGCCTTTACGTGCATTATCTCTGTTAATCTTCACACCAGCCGCATAAGTGGGTTCTGTGATAT